AGCTCAGAGAGGAAATTACACTAACCTGCTGGGAAAGCCAAGCAGCAAGGAGGAAGCATCTGCAACCACTGGGCACACAGCTGCAGCCCCTGGGCAGCCCTACCTCTCCTTTGAGAACATGTTGAAGCTCTGCTCCCATCAGACCCGTTTTTCCCTCAGGTGCCCCTCCCCACCCCCAGAATCCATCTTCTCAGCTGCTGTCCTGCCTCTATAGCATCAGATGCCTCTAACTCAGCATCATCTCTCATGCCTCTGTGCCTTTGTACATGCTGTTCTTGGTCTGAAATACTGTTCCCTCCCTTGACCCTCTAACTCCTACTCACCTTATACTCCTTCCACTGAGGCTTCTCTGAGAGACCTCCCAGGCCCTTCCACCTGGCCTCTGCTGCTCCCTGACGTGGATCACATGCTATCTGCTCTGGCTTCCCCCAGCCCAGGTGCCTCCTTGCATCTGTCACAGCACAGGTCACACCAACGATCACTGTCTGTGTCTGTGTCTGCCTCCATCACCAGACTGTAAGCCTCTAGAAAACAGGGCTGGGCTCTGACTTAGGCAACAGCCCCAAGGGCACCAAAGGGCTGACCACAAAGTTTCAACTCATTCATTCACTCAGTCACTGCACAAATAATGACCAAACACTGACTATAAGCCAGACATTGTTCTAGGTGCAAGAGACAGAGCAGGTAACAACATAGACAAGTCCCTGCTGCATGATCGTCAATCATCCCGGGGAGGGGCGGCATGCAGGGGACAGTGACAATAAAGTAATTCAAATGATTTGAATGATGACAGGTGCTGTGAAAAAAGTAAAGGAGTCTTTATTGAACCAGAAACTACAAATAGGGGCACAGTGGTTTCTAAAAGGTACAGTAGGCTGGGGGGAGGTCAATTCCAGACCCACCTGCCCCCACCCCTGCCCACAGGTCTCTCTGTTCCACTCCTTTTCAAGAGCTGCCAGGCACTAGGGTAGGAGGCATGTGAGACAGAAGCCTTGCCTCTCTCTTTGGAAGTGCCAGATGTCTCCCCCACTCACAGTCACGCTGCCTGGCTCTCCTGGAATTTGATTCAGTAACCATTACTGAGCAGTTAGTTATGAAGCAGTAACAATAGCTGCCAATTATTACAGGCCTGAGAGTTCCAGGGGCAGATGTGGGCTCCCTCTCGCACGGAGCCTGTCAACAGCCTGGCCAGGTAGGGAATTGCCCAGGGTCACACCACCTTGTCCCTGGTCCAGCTGAGATTTGAGCCTAGGTCTGGTGACTCCTGGGTCCATGTGCTTCCCACCACAGCCCACAGCCTCCCGAAGCTTGAAGGGCAAGCAAGTAGTCCCCGTGGTGGAAAGAACCAGGGCCTGAGTCTAGATTCCAAGGTCCTAATCCCAATGCTAGTTTGCTGAGTCAGGAGAAGTCCTTTAACTTCTCTGAGCCTCGGTTTCGCTTTGTGTCAAGAGGAGCCTAATCCACCTGAAAAGGTTGCTGTGAGCATCAGATGAGATACGGAATACAAGTATTTTGGAAAATACCACCATGGCACACAGTCAGCCCCTTCGTCCCTGAGACCCCCTGGGCCACCCTCACTACCCCGCCAACTCTACCCGGTGTCAGGGCCTAAGCCAAGTTGGCCGAACACTCATGGCAGGTTTGCTGCTGAGCATGGGCAGAGCCTCTCTGAACCCAGCATCACGGCCAGGGATGGAGCTCAGGACAGGATTGCCAGTCTGCAGAAAGGTGAGGGCTGGGTCAAGTGTCAGGAATCCTGCAGGTTCATACTGCAGCAGAATGGCTCGATAATATCTCTACTCCCCTGCTTAGAGGGGAAGGGACTACTATGTGCTAGTGCTTTCTCAGACATTATCTCACTTAATCTACAACATGAAGCACAGAAATGTTTATTAACTAGCTCGATGTTGCATGCTGAGTGTATTAGTCAGCTCTGCTGTCATAACAAAGTTCCACAGACTGGGTGGCTCAAACAACAGAAATTGATTTCCTCACAGTTCTGCAGGCTAGAAGTCTGAGATTAAGGTGTTGGCAGGGTTGGTTTCTTCCTGAGGCTTCCCTCCTCGTTTGTAGATGGCAGTCTTCATGTTCACATGGCACTCTTTCTCTGTGTCTGTGTCCAAATCTCCTCTTCCTAGAAGGGCACCAATCATATTGCATTAGAGACCACCCATAGGACCTCATTTTAACTTAATTACCTTTCTAAAGATGGTCATCTCCAAATACAATCACATCCTGAGGTCCTGGGGGTTGGGACTCCAACATATGGATTTGGGGGATATTCAATTCAGCCCCTAACAATGAGTAAGTGACAGAGCAAGATTTGAAATTGGATCTTTCTGGCTCAAAAATCTACCCTTTTTCTAGAAGGCAGAAAATGCCAAAGTTCCCCTCTCCCTTGCCCCTGAACCCAAACACTTCTCATTGGCCTGCCACCAGGGGGCCTAATGTGTTCTGAGTGTCTACTACATACATAAAGGTGCTTTGTCACCATTATATCATTTAATATAACAACCCTGTGAAGTGGGCACCTTGAAGAAACTGAGGCTGAAGGAAGGGAAGGGGCCCAAGGACACACAGTATATTAGTGGCCGAGGCAGGGCATGCACTGGCATGTCTGACCCCCTCCATCCACCACACTGCTTCCCCTCCTGGGTTGATATTCTCCTGACTTGACCATGATACAGCTGCAAAGCAGTATGGCAGCATGGCCAAATGGATTTTGGCACTCCTGGCTGGAGCACCGGGCTACCATTAACCACTGAATTGCTGGAATACCTGGGAAGAATGGGGAGCATTAGGGGAAATTAAGGGAAATGGCTATTTACCAACCAACCAATATACGGTAAAAGTATATCAGCCTTTTGCAACCAGTAAAGCAGTTCTGATGCATACAGTCTGAATACCAGCCCTGTTCTCCTCTCTTAGTCATTCCTTTGGGGGTTAGGACCATGGCTAAAAGCCAGAATTAGCTGATGGGAATGGGAAAACTGCTAGGAACTCCTCCTGATCTAGAAGGTGCTTGATAAGAAGGCGCTTCCTTCCTTTGAGAAGAGAAGCCATGTCTAAGGAGCTATAGTTCAGAGCAGAGGGAGCAGGGCTGGAAAAGACCTGGGACATCATACTCTCCACTACCCTTACTGTATAGATAGGAAGACTGGAGCCCAGGGGTAAGAATTGGACCAGCTTTGTGCAGTGAGCAGGACCAGAGCCAGGGCTGACTATATCTGCCCAAGTGCCCAGACCCCACCAGGACCAGCCTTTCATGTCCACTCATTGCCTCACCCCTTGAGGGCGTGAGTTCAATAGCCTCTTGGTCTGCTGGGTTCTCCCAGAGATAAAAAGCCAAGAACAGGGCACCAGAGTTCCCTGGAGTGCCCTGACCTGAGCTGAGCTGAGCTGAGCTAGGCTGAATGATTCTGGCAGCCGTCCCTGGAGGAGATGCCTCATCCACCTGCCTGTCCAGGGCCAGGTCAGCTGACCTTGCTGCATCCACAGGCCTGGATGGGCTGCTCTCCATGAGTGAGAGGGCAGGGACCTCATGGCATAATTGGAACTCCCTCCACCCTGACCCAGATGTAAGTGAAGCTGTTGAGAGCACAGTCTCTCTGAAACCAAAGGGCCTGTGTTCAAGTCTTAGCTCCATCACTTACTAGCTCCACAAATTTAAGCTATTTAATAACTCTATGCCTCAGCTTCCCCTTCTGTAAAATAGGGATGATAACTGTAGTGCCTTTTACATAGAGTTGTGAGGATTAAATGAGATAAGACAAGAACTGTACCTTGCCTGTTGTAAGTTTTGGGGAAGTTGTTAACTGTAAGTTTTATTTACTGGGGCTACTGTCACAGGTGCCAACAGCACAATTAACTTCAAGTCCCAGCTCTCCTTTCTCACTGTGTGGCCTTGGACAACCACTTTCCCCCTCTGAGCCCCCATCTATAAAATGAGGGCATGAGCCCTACCTCCTAGGGTCACTGTGAGCATCAAAGGTGACAATGGCATGAGCCCTGGGAAATGCTCTTCAAATATTTTATTCCTGTGACTAGCACAGAAATTTAAATAAAAGCATGTTGACAGGCAAATATCTTTTTCTTCTTTTTGGTACAGGCCCTCCCCTGCAGCTCCAAATAGTAGGACATAGAGCTCGCTGGGGTGGGAGAGTCCCCCCTCCCCCCACTCCCCGCCCTCAGCCGCAGGCAGTTCACTGACCCTGGCTGCTTACCACCCATGGAAACCTCCCTCCTTTGCGCAATTGTTCCTGGGATATCTGTCCTGATAGCTCGGAGCTGTAGCTAATGAACTTTCCTCACCCACCTGGAAGGCCCCGAGTTACATCATGCCCTGGCCTTGGGCACACACCCTTATATAACTGCACACTGGGTCCTGCCCTGCTCCTTCACCCCCTCCTCTTCCTCCTTCCCTTCCCCTCTTACTCTCTACTTCCTGCCTCCTAAACTGACACCATCCTACTTCCTGCGCTCAGGCCCTGGTTTTGAGGACAGATCTTGACCTCCAGGCTCCTAGGTCTTTAACTGAAGATACTCAGGATTTCAATCTTTGGGGGTGGGGGTCAGGTATAATGAATAGTGGACACAGCCAGAGCAAAGGTTTAGAGGATGGAAAGCCCTGAATGTCTGTGGCCCTGTCATCTAGTGGAGGTGATCATTAGCCATATGTATGGAGGCGGGCAGATGTACGGTGGGGAATGAGACTGGACAGGTAGGTGGGACCTCATCTTGTGGTCCCTCAAGAACTTTGAGAGGTTGAGACTGGCAGGGGCAATGCGTTAAAGTCCTGATGGTCAGTGTGCTCCCTGGGACCACAGCCCACTTGGAAGATCCAGCAAGGCAAATCGCAGGGTGTGGCACAGGGCACCTCTCAGCAGGTGAGCTAGAGCTGAACTCGTTCTGAGTGAAACTGAATGTGGAGGGGTGTGGCCAAGTGCTCAAGGGCTCTCAGGTCCCACAGCCTGAGATTTAAATCTCCTTTAGCCACTCGTACACCACTTCCCTGCTCTGAGTCTGTTTCCCCAACTACAACATCAGACTGATAATTGCACCTGCATTCACACAGGCGATGGCAGCAATGACAACATTTATCATAGTGCATGGCACGCAGCAGGAGCTTGATTAATATTAGTCTCCTCCCTTGCCCTCCGCTCCATTACCCTCTGGTTTCAGCTGAGGGCAGGTGTGTGAACTGAGTTACCCTATTATGCAACAGGGCTTTACTGAGCACCTACTTCTAAAATGTTTATTGTAAGAGATTATGATTATTGATAATAGTAAATACTCTCAAAGCAATTATTATGTGTCCGGAACTGTGTGAACCAATTAAGTGATTCCATTAAATCCCTTCTACTGCCTTCTAAGGTAATAATTTTCTTCATTTTACAGAAAAGAAAATGGAGTCTATAAGGGGATTAAAGGGAGCAGCAGAGCCAAAATTCAACCTCAGCTCTGTGTGGTCTAAGAGTTGCGCATTTTCCCACTTCTTCTTGCTGTTTCCACCTGTTTTTAGCCTGTCCACTTTCCCAGCAGCCTCCCTGCTCCCGCACTTCCCAGAGCACGAGCCAGTGCCCAAGGGAGGTAGTGTGATACAGCAGAAATAGCATGGGCCTCAGAATCAGAGACGCAGGTTCAAGTTCTGGCTCTTCCACTTGTGAGCTGAGTCACTTTGAGCAAGTTGTTTTACCTCTCTGAGCCTTGGTTTCCTCATCTAGACAACAGAGAGAAGATGAAGTAATGGCTGTACGCACTCAGCCCAGAGCCTGACCTAAATGCCTCTTTCCTTCTCTTCCTCTCACGCAGCGGTGTGAGAACCACCTTGTGCACTTGACCTTGCTGTGGTCACATAAGGAGTCCTTAACCAGAACTCTCTGTTTAGCTGGTGGCCCCGGAATGTAATGGTCTGGCATCATTTGAAGGATGGACCCTGAACATCACTGTCTTTAGAAATCTCAAGCATTGTTCCTGTGGTTCCAGACCAAAGCAAGTGCCTCAGGACAATCTAGAACTAGGGAGGTTGGGAATTTAAAAGAAGAAGCCTGAGTTGGAGCCCAAAGGAGTGGATTCTAGCTGTAGCCCTGCCCCAACATGCTGTGTAACCCTGAACAAGCCCCTACCCTCTCTAAGCCTCGTTTCTCCTTCTGTAGAATCCAGGCTTCTAAGGTAGTGGTGCCTGTGCTGATTGTAGAGAATCCCTCCTGAAGGGTGCGTATCCTTGCCCCCAGGCTCTAATCCTGTCCGGGCCAGGGCAGAGGCTCTGTCCTTTGGGCCTCCAGGAAAATAGGCCCCAACGCACAGTCAGCTCAGGAAAAATAGCCAACCGAGGTCATCCAGTCAGGGCCCATGGACAGTTGTTTATTACAAAGAGACTCAGTCAGGTGAGTCAGCTGCCTTCCTGTCAAGGAGGGACCAAGATGTGCATTGACTGTGGGGGCAAGGAAGGGGGTCTTTGACTGCTGGGTGGGTGGTGGTACCTTTCCCTAAGGTGAGGACTTGGGAGAGGCGTGTTTGAGTGAGAATTAAATCTTTGATTCAGGGAAATGGGGAGTACAGCCTGTGGGGCTCTATGAAGTGGAGACAATGAGCCGGCAGGTGGCCAGAGAGGTCTGACAGAGGCTGAGATGAGAGGTGGCAGCTAAAAATACAGATATGCAATATTCAGCATGGCAAACAACTGATGCATGGGGCTGGGTGGGGTGAGCTGCCCCAGGAACCGCCTGGAGACTGAAAGGGGTAGAGGGGTGCAGAGCAGTGCATGGGGAGCAGTCCTGAATGGGCTGGGGACCAAGAAGGAGTCAGCAAAGGAGACCAAGAAGGAACAGCCAGTGATATGGGAGAAAATGAGGAAGGAAGCCAGGAGAGTCAGCTGTGACGAATGTCACATGGTGAGGGTTGGTGAAGCATTGTTGGCAGCTTAGCAGTAGCAAAGGCCATTTTATGGTTTTCTAGAGGGGATGAATGGAAAATGCAAACAATGAATCTAGACTGCCACTAAGTTTAACTGATATAAGGTGAGGAACACAGTAAATGCTCAGTAAATATTTCTGAGTGAATGTAACAGAGAAAGGGTTGGAGAGCGAGGCGGCAGTGAACACAGAGCAAGTAGGCTGGAGGAGGTATACTTTT